AGACACGTCGACGGGAGGCACGTCCCGACGTCGACGTCCCGACGCCACGCGTCCTCCAGGACGCCATTCGGCCGCCGGCCAATCCGCACGCGGATGGGCGTGATGGAACCGCCCCGTGGTGATTCTCCCTCCTTCTCGTTTCAATCGAGACACGATCCGGGGCTCGCAGCCCCTCGTCCCCTTCCAGGAGGCAGGCACGATCTACCTCCCAAACCAACGCTCATTAGCATTTGTGCCCGCTTTTCCGCCCGCCACGGAAACGCTCGCGGCGAAACTACCCCTCGGCCCGGCTACCCGTCGCCGACCGGGGGTAGGAGTGTAGGACGCTGCTCGGCGACCATCCTACTATCATTCCCCGCGTTCTTCTCCGCGCCCTGTATGACCGCCAGGGCCGCGTATTTACCTGGAGGCAGAAACAGGCCGCGGGCACGCGGTAATTAATCCCATGCTTTCCGTGGTCGAAGCTCCTCCTTTTTGTCTGGCCTCGTTATCGGTCGTCGGATCGTCGACTTTCTGCCCGAGTCTGAAAAGAGAGAGTTATTTTACGAATGAACTCGGGAATTTTGAACACGTTATCTTCTTCTCGCAATAAATCATGGATAACGTAGACACGAATTGTGTGTGTAATCTGATTATAAAATTCTGTTTTATAAATCGTTTCCTGTTCATACTTTATATCTTCCGAAGTAATTTCTTTCTCTTTTTATATATTTATATTGAATATGTAAAGAATCTGCAAGATGCCGTACGTGTGTGACAGTTAAAATTAATCTACTGCTTTAACATTAAAAATAACTGATTACGTTTTCATAGAATGTTTTCGGGATTCAATTTTTTATTTTTCAATATTTTAAAAAATAAAATTAATTTTATGAAAAACACTTATAATTGCTTTCATTAATAATGTAAAAATAAAAAAATAATATATATATATACATATACATATATAGAGAATCTGAGGTAGAAATCTTCAGGCACGATGCAGAATAAAGCGGCCCTGCATGTTACGTGTGATAAGTGCATTTCTTCTGTCACATGCTGCCTCATTCTCTCAGTTCCTGTATATTTCTCCGTTTCAATATCCACTTCTCTTCTCACTAGTAACACACCTTCGTTTTCTTCTTCCCTTCTCTCTTCGTCTTCCTTTTCGACGATGCGTAAGTGAACTCTCAGGACCGTCAGGATGATGTACATCGGTTAGACGTAAACTCGATTTCGTTCTTGCCAATCTCAATTTTTCAGACACGATTTATCGTCCTCGATAAAGTATGTCGTGTTTGTTGCGCGATTCTCACCGAAGAAGACATCCAATATTTGCTGCCTTCCGGATAACGCTAAATCTGCATCGTTTAGGGTAACATTAAATCTACGGAAGTTGTCCTCTCTCGTGAGCAACATCGATACGCCGCAAATCTCTCCTCGCACCAGATGAATGCGATCCTGGGACATATACCCTGTGTTTGTCGCTTCCAAACTCGGCAATATTTAAATGCGATTGCATTCAGGGAATGTAATTGCTCGGACTATATCAGCAGACTTCGCCTTGTCAGTCCGTTTTATGAGATATGGACAGATGAAAAGGGAGAATGAAATCTGCTGAGAAATGCAAGTAGAAAGAAATCAAGAACTTGAAACATAGACATATCGTCAATTTTCTATTCTTAAGAAGGTTCTCGCGCTTCCTAGCCAATAGACAATTTACTCATAATATGTAAAACAATTAAAATAATGGAATAAAAAGGTTATTAACGATATCTTATGCTATTATATATAATTATTGTTAATTTTATATGTTATTAATTTTCGAAATGATAAAATAAAAGTTGTAAGATGCTCATTTGTAAATTGTACAGTCAGTTTAAATGAAACTTTACGAGAACAAACTTAAGTGTTTACTTTATAATTATAACAATTTTTAAATTGTCTTATACGCAAGTGTCTCAATTTAGAAGAGAATAACTACAAAAGAAAATAACTACAAAATAATAATTATACCTTCAACTTGTAATGTAAAATTCTATAAATTTAGAATTAAATATCTTCAAAATAATACGGAAATCGTCAATGAAATTTTTTCTAGATATTATTGATATTATTAACTTTTGTATTACATGTATAATATAGACTTGTCTTATATTTCATCAAACGCAAGAACCTCCTTAACTTTTTTACAGAGATATCACAATCTTAATTTATAATCAAAGAGAAAGGAATGAATCTTCGATTGATATTTAAAATCAAAGAAAGATCAAGTGAAATAAAACAAAAGAATCAATAGGATATTAAAGAAGAGATTCAATAAACATAGTATCAAATTTGTCAAAGAATGCTTTTTTAAATTATTGAAATTTCAAAGCATTTTTTATATCGATCATGCTAATTAAACGATTATACTAATAGCGATAAACAATGAGATAACGGAATATAGGTGTAAAAGTTGAGTGTGTACATTACTCAAAATATTCGCGCTTCTCAATTTCTGGGAGATGAGACGGCGACAATGAGAACGCGCGAGGACACCTCCGTGCAAACGATGAGAGGACACCCTCTCTTCGCTCTTTCAGCAGAGAGAAAGAGGGGAGGGAGAGAGAACGGTACAACGACGTGGACGAGGGTGGACGGAACGAGGAGAGGGGCAAAATGCCGGGAGTGCGGCCTATAACGCAGGCAGACGGAGCCAATCAGAGCGCAATGCGATTACCTTAACGAGAAATCCGATTACTTATTCATTCGCCTAACTCGAAATCAGTTTAACTAATCGTTTAATTCGGTCGCTCTCTCGCTACCAGCCCCTTCGGTCGGTCCCAGGCCTTCGAATCTCCCCGGCTTCGGAGAAGAGGAGCGTAGACGCCGGCGACAAACGGGGGTTACAATGTCTCATCAGGGACGTAGCGAAATCTCGCGCAGCATCATCCGAGACGATCGCATTTTGAAGCAAAATATATGAACGGGATTTCTAAAAAAAAAAAAAAATTAAATTATCATAACTTCTTTAATTTACATCTCAATGTTTGATCGTGATTAAGATTAAATTAAATGTATTATCTACAAGAACAGTCAACTTCTATCGTGGATAAATAAAAACTGGAAAATATATTTGAAAAAACAGTACTGATATTTTTAATCTAATTAATGTATTTCTTGGGACTGCTTGCTGCTAAATAATGACTTAAAAATTAATTATTTATTCGCCTAACGGATTTTAAAAAAACTTTTTTACAGTTTCTGTTGTATCGATAATCTTGCTATTCGAAGTAAATTAAAAGAACATATTCATAGCTTTGAGAATCTGACCTTCCCAAAAGATTTGCCGATTTATGTCGGCTTCCAGGGCCCCTTCCGGTCTTTAATCCACCTCTGAATCTCGGTCTACCCCTCGACTCGCATAGACCATGCACGCACACGCGTGCCTGAGCATTCGCACGCGTATACGTTCGAGCCAAACGCTTCGGAAGGGGATGGGCGATGCGGAGCAAAGGAGAGGGCTCATTCAATTCAATTACGTAATGAATTGTCGTGTCTTGAGTAAACACCCTTCCTCGCCGCGACTTGCCGGCGGAAAATCCAGGGCGGTATCCACCGGCACCCTCCTCTCTCTCTTTCTCTCTCTGATTTCCAGCGGGAGGAGGATGGGATAGCGGTTTAGGTAAACCAAATCAATCTGGTACCGGCTATATGAAATCCCCCTGATGCATCTCTCGCATGCGTGTGCGGGCGAGCTGTCTATGTACAAGCAAATCCGGATTTCTGCGTGCGTTGGTGGTCCTTTACGTGCGCGCGCGAAAGCGCAACGTGCACGCGTCTGTAAATGTAAACATGCGTGCGATAATGCGTGATTACGCGTGAAGATTCCGCCTCGGTTGCGCGCGGAATCGGAATATCATCTGAAAAATCACGATTTTATAACACTCATTCGATTAATTTGGAATCGATCTTATCATTGATCCTCTAAGTGGTGGTGCTATCCCATTGACAGGTGTCGACCAGACAGCACAGAATATTTATGATAAATATTTATTATTATTCATTTTATGAAATGTATGAATATTTTATTATATATTTTTTTATATAAAGCCTTTATTTGAAATATTATTAAAAGATAGACTAAATATTTATAATGTAATATTATGATAAATATAAATATTTTTGTTAAGTATTTCTTATTTGAATTATAATGTCTTATTAAAATTTTTTCATAGCATTTACTACAAGATTTACAATAAATATTTCATAATATTTATAATAAATGTTTATTCTATGCAA